GGGCGCAGGAAGGAAGAGCAGCAGTGGCGATGGGGCAGCGGCGGGAAGGGAAGGGCGACGATGGGATGGAGGAGGACGAGGAGGAAAAGATGGAAGAGGAGGAGGAGGAGGTCTCTCCGTTCGGGTCGTCGTGTTCCCCGAGCAGTGACGGCACCAAGGGGCGCTCGCTGGTCCCGCAAGGAGGGTGGCATGAATGGTGTGAGTTCGCGCTCTCGCCCTGGTGCCCTGTGGCTGGTGCTACCCTGAGATGCCCTAACTGTTGCGACCTCTCGTTCTTGCCCTGCGCCCTATGCGTGGTGGTTGATGGAACGTGCTCGATGATGCCTGAACTGCAGCGACTTTTTGTCATTTTTGTCATCGTGCCCTGGTGCCCTAGGGGTGGTACTCTAGGGCGTCTGCCGACGATGACTTAGGTGTTGCGATGTCTCGTTTTGTCCTGGTGCCCCAGGGGTGGTACTCTGTGGCTTTTGCCCGATGGTGATTTTTACTTTTTTGTTGATATTTGTTGTTGTTGCGCTGGTGCCCTGGGGATGGTGCAGTATGGCGTTTGCCGCCTGATGCAGGTGTACTACGGGTGGTGCTCTGGGGATATAGCGCCGTCTGATGTTCAACTGCTATGGTATCTCGTTATTGTCCCATGTGCTCCATGGGTTGTGCACTGTGACCCGTGACCCCTGCCACCTTAACTGGTGCGATGTCTCGTTCTCGCCATGGTGTGATGTGGGTGCCTGGCACCCTATGATGTGCTGGCTACTGCGAGGTTTGTTTCTTCCAGGTGCTGTATGAGTTGTGCGTCATGGCTAATGTTCGCACCATGTCTACGACGGTCACGTCTATTACCACCCGCCACCATCACGAGTGCTAGTCTTACTTCTACTACTACTACTACTACTACTACTACTACTACTACTACTACTACTACTACTACTACTACTACTACTACTACTACTACTACTACTACTACACTACTACTACTACTACTACTACTACTACTACTACTACTACTACTACTACTACTACTACTACTACTACTATCACTACTACTACTACTACTACGACTACTACGACTACTACGACTACTACTACCACTACTACTACTACTACTACTACTACTACTACTACTACTACTACTACTACTACTACTGTTATTCCCCACATCAAAAGTGGGGTTCTTGCTTTCTCTGGACACCCCGCGCAGGAACAGGAACACACACACACACACACATACCCACTCACACTCACTCACACTCTCCCATCATCAACCTCATCAGCATCATCGATGATGCTCTCTCACATGCATAGTCACTCACATACTCATCATCAACATCACTCGCACTCGCTCACACGCTCCGAAATCCATCATCATCAACCTCATCACCTCCCTCCATTCATCCGGCCATCCTCATTCACGAATCGGCTCCCTGGAGACCACTCACATCATCATCATCCCTTTCACACTCATCTCACCACCCACTCATCATCCTATCATCCTCATCCTCATCATCGTGATTACATGTGGGAATCCTCAGCGGAGCCCCTCCCTATGGGGCCCGCAAATTCATGTTGGTAATCGACGGGTCAGCGTAACCTGTACTGTTCGTCACTGTTTGGGCTCGTCAAAGCCTGAAATGGAAAGGAAGTTCGGCGGGAGCCTCGTGTGAGTGGATTGGGTAGGCAAGTCTCATGCGGGAGCTCTCCCTATGTATGTGGGACCCCGCAGATCATGTTGGTAATCCGAGGCGGTCAATCGGAACTTGAAATGTCGTCCACTTTGTCTCTCAGCCTGAAATTTGGAGGAAGTCTCAGGCGGGAGCCTCGTCTGTGAGTGAATTGGGAGAAAGTCTCAGGCGGGAGCTCCCTCACTATGGGGCCCGCAGATTATGTTGGTAATCCGAGCGGGTCATCGGAACCCTGTAACTGTCGTCACTTTTGGGCTACTCAAGCCTGAATTTGGAGGAAGTCTCAGGCGGGAGCCTCGTCTGTGAGTGAATTCTGAGGAAGGCTCAGGCGGGAGCCCCCTCCCTATGGGGCCCGCAGATCATGTTGGTAATCCGAGCGGGTCATCGGAACCATGTAACTGTCGTCACTTTTGGGCTCGTCAAGCCTGAATTGGAGGAAGTCTCAGGCGGGAGCCTCGTCTGTGAGTGAATTGGGAGGAAGTCTCAGGCGGGAGCCCCCTCCCTATGGGGCCCGCAGATCATGTTGGTAATCCGAGCGGGTCATCGGAACCCTGTAACTGTCGTCACTTTTGGGCTCCTCAAGCCTGAATATGGAGGAAGTCTCAGGCGGGAGCCTCGTCTGTGAGTGAATTCTGAGGAAGTCTCAGGCGGGAGCCCCCTCCCTATGGGGCCCGCAGATCACGTTGGTAATCCGAGCGGGTCATCCAAAACCTGTAACTGTCGTCAATGTTGGGTTCTCGCGCTGCCAGAACGCAGTTCCCAGGCCACATTTTGGACGCAACAAGAAAGTTTTTGGGCTCCTCAGGTCGCCGAGGTGCTGCGACAGGGCGCCGAAGGCGCCGACGACGACGGCCAGGCCGAGGCGCGGGCGCGGAGCTTGCTGATGTTCAGGCCCAGCGAAAGGGAGTTCACATGGCAGAGCTCGGGGGCGCACAGCGTGCGCCGCTCGGGGTTCACCCTGACGCACGCGTCCTACCTGACCTCCACGCTGTCGCAGGGCCAGACGCTGCGCAAGGGCGTCACCATCGACTGCGCGAGAGACGAGGACGCTGGCCGCACGGGCATGTCGGACGAGCAGTGGTGGCTGCACCTCTACGTTATGTTCTCCCGCGCCACGTGCATGCGGAACATGCTGATCCTGCGGCCGCCGCCGCGAGAGTTCCTGGAGTGCGGGCCGCCGGCGTCCCTGCGGAAGGCGCTCCTGGAGTTCGACAAGAGAACGGTTTTGTCCAGGGCGGAGGCGAAGCAGCTCGCGGCAGAGCTGGGCTTCGTGCTGCCTTCCGCCTGAGCGCGGCTGCGCCTCGCTCGAAGCCCGCGGGGTTGTCCCAACGGCTTGGTTTGCGCGCCAACGGCTCGCGGGGTTGTCCCGACAGCCTGGCCCGCGGGGTTGTCCCAACGGCTGCGCGACGTGACCAGTAGAGAACGCGCCTGTGCTGGCCGTGGCGGCGACGGCGCCGAGGAACATCGACATGCGCGCTCATGCAACAGGAAGGGGAGGAGGTGGCGGGGCGCGGAACAAACTGGGGGGCGAGGATGGGGACAACGCAAGGAGTGGAAGGGGGGCCCGCGCCAAGGCGAGAGGAAATATACGCAGAAGAGACAGCCAGGACGCCTCACCAACCACGAGGACGACGGTGATGGCTTTTTCCAGATTCGCCCAGAGGATTCTTATGTGGGGTTTTTCCGTCGGAGTAATGGATGACCTGCTCGGATTACCAACATGATCTGCGGGCCCCATAGGGAGGGGGCTCCCGCCTGAGACTTCCTCGCAGTTCACTCACAGACGAGGCTCCCGCCTGAGACTTCATCCATATTCAGGCTTGAGGAGCCCAAAAGTGACGACAGTTACAGGGTTCCGATGACCCGCTCGGATTACCAACATGATCTGCGGGCCCCATAGGGAGGGGGCTCCCGCCTGAGACTTCATCACAATTCACTCAAAGACGATGCTCCCGCCAGAGACTTCCTCCAAATTCAGGCTTGACGAAGCCAAAAAGTGACGACAGTTTACAGGGTTTTCCGAATGACCCGCTCGGATTTAAACCAACATGATGGAGGCCCCATAGGAGGGGGATCCCGCCTGAGACTTCCTCGCAGTTTCACTCACAGACGAGGCTCCCGCCTGAGACTCCTCCATATTCCAGCTTGAGGAGCCAAAAGTGACGACAGTTACAGGGTTCCGATGACCCGCTCGGATTACAACATGATCTGCGGGGCCCCCTAGGGAGGGGCCTCCCGCCTGAGACTTCTTCACAATTAAGCCAGACGAGGCTCCCGCCAGAAGAGCCTTCCTCCAAATTCAGCTTGACGAGGCCCAAAGTGACGGGAACAGTTTACAAGTTCCGTGACCCGCCTCGGATTACAAACAGGATCTGCGGCCCCTAGGGAGGGGGGCTCCCGCTTGAGCCGTCCTCCAGAATTCACTCACAGACGAGGCTCCCGCCTGAGACTTCCTCCATATTCAGGCTTGAGGAGCCCAAAAGTGACGACAGTTACAGGGTTCCGATGACCTGCTCGGATTACCAACATGATCTGCGGGCCCCATAGGGAGGGGGCTCCCGCCTGAGACTTCCTCGCAGTTCACTCACAGACGAGGCTCCCGCCTGAGACTTCCTCCATATTCAGGCTTGAGGAGCCCAAAAGTGACGACAGTTACAGGGTTCCGATGACCCGCTCTGATTACCAACATGATCTGCGGGCCCCATAGGGAGGGGGCTCCCGCCTGAGACTTCCTCACACTTTACTCAACGATGATGAGGATGAGGATGATGAGTGGTGGTGAAGATGAGTGGTGAAGAGGATGATGATTGATTGTGGGTGGTGGTGGCGATGATGATGTTTGAATGAGGATGATGCCGATACCGATGATGACGATGATGTTCGTGAGCGTGTGAGAGAGTGCGAGTGTGAAGAGGAGAGGGGGTGGGGTGAGTGTTCCTGCGCGGGGTGTGCAGAGAACACAAGAACCCCACTTTGGATGTGGGGAAAAACTGCAACGCCAAGATCTCAGGGTTTCATGTCTCCACAGCGAGGGGATAGCGACCCCCTGGAAGGTTCAGGCTCCAGGGCCCGTGGTACAGGGACATCAGCTTCAGCTAATGGAGAAATCAAGAGGTACCGATGCCGCTGCTCCCCAGACCTCTCCAAGGGTGCGTTCTGGCGCCAGACTTTCGAAGCGAATCCAGCAGCGGCGACGAGAGCCTTCCAGGGGAGGCCGAAGAATGGGGCGGAGGGTAGCGGTATGGGTACCTTTTCCTCCTCCGAGCCACCGAGGAGGAGGAGGAGGAGGAGGAGGAGGAATAGGAATAGGAGGAGGAGGAAAGGAGGAGGAGGAAAGGAGGAGGAGGAGGAGGAGGAGGAGGAGCCACCGAGGAGAGGAGGAGGGTAGCGGTACGGGTACCCTGTCCTCGTTCGGAGCGGGCAGCGAGAGAGAGCGGCCCCCGTCAGATGTTCAGGCGCCAGGGCCCCTGGTACAGGGGCATCAGCTTCAGCTTGGGGAAGCCTGCGCCGCCCGAGCACGTCCCTCCCTCGCTGCCGCGGGGTCGTTGTCCCCCGGGGGCTCGGGGAGCGGCGGAATGTGCACACGTGCAGAGCGGCCCAGGGACACACAAATGAATAGACAGAAGTCCAGAGATTCCCTATAGGTGTCATGGCTTCTGGAGTATCGTCTTCCCCCCAAGCTTGAAGATTTCCCCCCATCTGCCGGGGAAGCGCCGATCACTTGTGTCTGTGTCTCTGTTCCCCTCCTGACACATGCCCGCGCACGCGGGCGGGCACGTATCCACACGGCAGGTTCGTCTCGTGACGACCCCAGCGATGGTTTCTGACACTCTGGTGGCAACGCACGAGAGGCTCCCGTGCCATCTTGCTGGCTCTTGCGCATCGACGCTGGCCGACGCTATTCGATACTAAATCGATGCCACATCGGCTCTAGATCATCGGCTACCAGATGCTAGCGCACGCGAATGCACCCTAGAGGCAGTACTCTGAGGACACGCAATGCGCCCATGATTTTATACCGAATGACAGTGTGTCTCAGCTGCCCCGACACGTAACACGCAACACGCAACGTGTTGCCACGGAACTCAGCACGTAGACCGAACACGTAGGCCTGATGCAGTAATCGTTCGCCAAAACGTGGGCCAACACGTGCAGAGCGCCAACACGCAGCGTCTTCACACGGACGTTCTGAACACGGTACGTGTTGCGTTTCAAGACGCCTCTCTGTCAACTCATGGGAGCCTTCCATACCAGCTTGTCGACTCTTGCGAATCGACGCTAATCGATACTTGTCGATGCGAATCGACGCTAAATCGACGCTAACCAACGCTATGTCGGCGCTATCTCATCGACTCCCAGACGCGAGTCGACGCGAACCGGCGCGAAAGACGGAAGTAAACGGGTATACCAGGCTCCCGTGCTTTGCTACCGAACAAGACGGGCGTATCGAGGCAGCTGAGCAGCGCGTGGATCTTTCAACCATGAGCGACCGGCGGCTTCTCGATCGCCAGACCGCTCCATGCTGGCCGATTCTGGGCGCCACTGGCGGCGTTGAGCCCCCCTGAGCGGCCGCGGCGGCGGCCAGCTGCCGCGGCGGAACGACACGAAGACCTGCCTCTAACCTCAGGTCGGGCATTTCCCTCTACAGGCGGATTTTCGACGATAAATAGAAAATAGAGAAAAATATTCAACAACAACTAAGAACAAAAAAAAAAAACATCCCCAGACTATTTTCCCTATTTTCGAATATTCCTGCTGTAGGGGACATGCCCGACTTCACTCTAACCCACCACTCCTCGAGGGCCCAGGGCACGACTCCGAAGCAGCGGACGTAAACAGATCCAGATGAACGACGACCAAAGACGGGCCTTGCGCGAGATGACCAGGCGTTGCAGTTTTTTCGCACCGGGCGTTTTCTCCCAGCTTCGGGCCCAGGGACCCTCACGGATCGATCCGGCTCGACAAATGCCACACAAAGATGGGGTCCGGGGCTCCGGTGGTGATGTTTTGCGATGGCGGGAGTGTTTCGCAACGTCGAATCTCAGGGAAACACAGACATCTGGCTGCTCCAACTTTTTCGATGCATGGGCCCCAGAGGTCTCGGCCACCTCCCTGAGGCCTGTTTATTCGTTCTGGGTCGTTCTTTGATGCTCCCGCGGCCCGGCGAGGGCCCCTGGAGGCCGAAAACTGCCAAAAACTGCCTGCTCTAATTTTGCGGAGCGTTGGATCGCTGTGGATGGGCGATGACAAAAACTTGATGTTGCGCGAGAAGGCATAGCGACCTTAATAACGCTGCGGCTCACGCGGGCCGCCAGCGTGGCACGCCGCGTCGAGGAGAAGGCGCTTACGCGCGGCCTCACGCGAGAAGCTTACGCGCGAACCCTGAAATCTGGCGCTGCAAGAGAAACGTCAAGAACAATCACGGCCGCAGCCCCAGATTCCATCTGCCTGCTGCTTATTCGAGCCGGATCGGCCTGTGATGATCCTGGGGGCCCGAAGCCGGGCGGAAACGCCCGGTGTGAGAGAATTGCGACGCCCGGATCTCAGGGTACGCGGGAAGTTTGCGCGCGAACTTCGGCGCAGTCGACCCCATCCACTTCCGTCGCTCCGGTGGGCGACGAAAGGAAACGGGTCTTGCGCGAGACAGCGCAGCAACCTTAAACGCGGCGGCTTACGCGGGCCGCCAGCGCGGCCCGCTACGTTGGAATCGAGAGCGCGTGCGCGCGACCTCACGCGGGCAGCTCACGCGCCAACGTCGGCGAAGACGACCCCGTCTGTGCAAGACGGAGCCAAGACGAGGACAAAACCGGGCGAGGAGAAATCGAGAACCTCGGAACTACTGGGCTATACGTGAGCTTGCGCGCGACCTCACGCGGGCAGCTCGCGCGCCGACGTCGGCGCAGGCGGCCCCGTGCTTGCTGCCTCGCTGCAGCGGCGGCGGCAGGCCTTCGATCGCCGCGGGGCCCTCGCTGCCCCGGGGGTGGCCGTCGGCGGGGGCGCTCTCGGCGAGGCTGCTGATGGCCCGGTGGCCGGAGTCGGTCACGACCCGGAAGAGCTTCGCCGGCGCGGCCCGCCGCCTCCTCTCCTGTGGCCGCGAGGGCCGGGCCCGCACGACCGACGACGACCGTCGGCGGCGGCGGCGGCGGCGACGGCGACGTGGACGACGACGAGGACGAGGACGAGGACGAGGACGACGACGAGGACGAGGACGAGGACGAGGACGACGACGACGGCGGCGAGGAGGACGACGACGACGAGGACGACGACGACGACGAGGACGACGACGACGACGGCGGCGGCGGCGGCGGCGGCGAGGACGACCCGCACGCGCGGTCGGCCCAGGCTGGGCGTGAGCGAGGGGCGCCCTGCTGGTGCGGAGGGGCCGCGGCGGCATGGCGGAGGAGGCGGAGGTGCTGCTGCTGCGGCGGCATGCGGCGGCGTGGCGCACCGCGTCGAAGTCAGCGGCGGCCCGGGGGGGGGGGGGGTTTCAACCTGAGCGGGGCCCAGGGAGCCAAAAATAGAGAGACACAAGTTCCAAGATCGCCCGTAGTTTTACATACGTTGTGGTTTTCGTCTTCCCCTCCACTTCCCATATTTCCCCATCACGCGTTCCTGGAGATCGACGATTCCCCCCAAGCCTCCTCGTCCCCGAGGATCCGCAACCTCATCGTGCTCGAGATGGGCACGCATCCCCCAACAGAAAACCTGAACCCTCGAGCCTCTCACAAGACAAGCCGTGATGGCCCCAGGCGGGCGTCGCTCTCGCAAAACTCTCGGATGCCACACTTGGCACGGCGAGCGCCAGCAGAAACCATTCTCGGGCCCCAAAATATCCTAGGCACCTCCGCTCCCCAAACATGCTCGCGCCTTCAAGAAAATCACGACGGGAAGGCTATTGGCAATCTTGTCGGCCTCTGGAGGCCCTCGCCGGGCCCCGGGGCCTCAAGAATCTGCCCGGGATGGAAAAACCAGCCCCATGGGCCCGAGGAGAGGGTCAGGACTCCCAGGGACCCCGCGTGGAAAGCAACATAACAATTTTCCCGGCAAAGCAACCTGACAGCGATGTGTAGAAGCATAGCTGGAAACATTGCCTGTGGTATTCATGTAAGAGTGCTGTTGTAGAATTCTGGTGTTCTCGCAGTCGCATTCGGATTCGCAGTGGCAGTCGCAGTGGCAACATCAGCGGCAGTCGCAGTGGCACTGCCAGTAGTTGCAGCAGCAATAGCTACACTAGCAGCAGCAACAGCAGCAGCAGCAGTAATAGTAGCAGTAGTGGTAGCAGTAGAAGTAGTAGTGATGGTAGTAGTGGTAACAGTGAAGTAGTAGTTGTAGTGTGTGGAGTGAACGAGTAGGAGATGCGGTCGCGATGGTCCGAGAAACGTTTGGCCAACTTGTTCTCGGCCCGTTCTTGTTCGGACGTTCCCTTATTTCGCTTCGGTATCCGGCCGAACTGCTTCACGTGCTCGACGAGCGTTTGCAGAGGACCGCTCAATGCAGCACGCTGAGGAGCAGCGCTGTTCCCTGCCACAGGCTGAGGAGCACCGCTGTTCAATGCAGCAGGGTCAGGAGCACCGCCGCCAGACCGAGAACTATCAGCATGTCCTGGCATTAAGGTGTGCAGTAGGCGCTACGCAGTTCCTTTTGAAAGGAAATCTTCGAAAGCAAGGCTGTAGCCAAGAAGGCTACGGGGACGATGATGATGATGAAGATGATGAGTCTTGGAAGTCTGGGAAGTCGAAGAGCACGAAGTGGCCTACAGCTGGCTCCGGGCATCCAAAATGTGGCCCGGGAGTGGAGTTCTGGGAAGTGGAAGAGCACGAAGTGGCCTACAGTTGGCTCCGGGCATTCAAAATGTGGCCCGGGAATCGTGTTCTGGGAAGTCACACGAAGTGGCCTACAGTTGGCTCCGGGCATCCAAAATGTGGCCCGGGAATGGAGTTCTGGGAAGTCGAAGAGCACGAAGTGGCCTACAGCTGGCTCCGGGCATCCAAAATGTGGCCCAGGAATGGAGTTCTGGGAAGTCGAAGAGCACGAAGTGGCCTACAGTTGGCTCCGGGCATTCAAAATGTGGCCCGGGAATGGAGTTCTGGGAGGTCGAAGAGCACGAAGTGTGCGACTGTTTGCTTAAAGCGAGCCCGGCCCTCGCCTGTCCGGCTCCCGCCCAGACCCCCCTGGGGAGTCATCAGATGCTCTCTTTTGACCCCATTCGAAACCTATCAGTCTTCGCTGTTAGGTAAAAACTCCCTTAAGACCCGACGGTGCGAACAAAAATGCAACATCGTCATCTTGGAAAACCACGACCGGAGCCAGTCCCCATCTCTCTGCGCCGACCTGCAGACGTGCTGCAGCAGATTTTCGCATGGACTGCTGTCAATGCAAAGCCCCAAAACGGCGAGCGAAAAACGAAGTGAATTTCACGTGGATGTCTTGTAGTCTCCATTCCTGGCCAAAAACATCCAGCACGAAATTCACTTCGAAATCCGGCACGAAATTCTCCAGGACAGTCCGGGTCCATCCCACTGTTTTCCGAACGAAATCCGCTTTGCGATGTTGGCGCCATGACCCATCGTTCCGCGCCATTTTCCAGGCCGGAGCGCTCCGTTGCTTGGAACCGGGACCAGGTGTCCATCCAGACCGGGACCAGTTTTTCATCCTGAGTCGTTCTTGGACGGCCCCGACGCCTGGCCCAGGGCCCCCAGAAGGCGAAAACAGCGAAAAACATCGCGTCGTGCTTTTTGGGGCATCGAGAAGCATCGGAAAACATCGAGAGCCTCGAAAAAAACATCGAGAAACTTAGAAAAATATCGAAAACATATAACAAGATTGGGAAACCTCGAAAAACATCGAGGCCGAAAACATCGAAAACCTCGCGAGGGGGTCTGGGAGCTCTGGTCGGATGTCTGGAGCAGGAGCGGCACGAGCAGGAGACTTCCGGCGTCCCGCCAGGAGCGCGGCCACTCCCGGAGGCCGCCCAAATGGGGTCGGAGTGGATGGGGTCGAAGGACCGCGCCGCATCGCCGATACAGGAGCGATGCATCGGCAATGTATCGGCGATGCAGCGGCAATGTAACGTCGACCTCGGCGGTACATCGGCGACGTCGACGTGAAGCAAATCGGGCTCCGCGCCGAGCCCCGTCGCCGATGCAGCGGCGATGCGAAGCGGTCCTTCGACCCCATTTGCTCGGACCCCAGCTGGGAGGCCTCGAGCTCCCCCCCCTCGCGGCTGCTCCCCCGCCGCCCACGGCGCTTCTGGGCGGGGAGGCCCCGTGCCGACCCCACAAGGAGAGCAGATGGGCGCACCTCCGATGAGGTGCCGGCTTGCACAGCCAGACCTGGGCCAGCGGAACACCCTCAAAGAGCACGGGACCCCTCCGCCGGCCAACACACGCACGCACACACACACACACACACACACACCCAGACATGCGACGTCCTGATTTTTGCAGGACGGCGCCCCCGAAGTCCCGACCCTTTCCCCAGGGTCGGTTTTTCATCCTGCGTCGTTTCATGACGTTCCCGGGGACCGGCGACGACCCCCAGGGTCTGACAATAGCGGACAAGGGCCGTCCTGATTTTTTACGACGCGATCATGTCTCGACACACACGGCCGTGACGCCCGCGGCTCAGGCGGGGTCCGTGGCTCTCAGCTCGAGCGCCTCCTCGTCGGAGTCGCACGGGGCACCGATGCGCTTGCCGCGCCCGAGAGCCAGCGCGCCCCGCTGCTGCAGGGGGGCGCTGGCGCGGCAGCCCCGGCAGCGCCTGGCTGCCTCGGGCAGCCCGCAGCACGCCAGCGGCAGCAGGGCCGCGCTCAGAGCCAGCAGGCTGCGGACCTGAGCGCGGTGCCTCCTGGCGTCTTCCTCGCACTGCCCGGCGCCCTCGTGCCGCAGGGCCGCGAGGGCAGGGCTGCCTCCAGCCCGCGGGGCGTCCGGCGGCTCCGGCGGCGCAGGCAGGGTCGCAGGCGCAGGGGCAGCGGCCCCGTTTGCCGCCTCCGCCAGGGGCCGAGCCCACACGTGCACGTAGCCGCCGCGCAGGTACACGAAGCCGGCCTCCACCAGGGCCCGGCGGAACTCCAGCACGCGAGCCTGCGGAACGAACTTGTTGTCGTTCTCGTAGATCACCACCCGCAAGGTCTGGCCCTCCAGCACGCGCGGGTTCTGCAGCACGAAGTCCGGCAGGCATCCCTCGCAATCCGCGAAGAGTACCGTGGGGGCACCGCGGAGCACCTCTGACTCCACGCTAGAGAGGCTGACGCACGACGCTGGCTGCCGCCCCACGCCTGGCGCCTTCTGCGTGCCCCGCACGAACCTCAGCCCCGCGCAGTTCCGCTCGTCGAGGTCCGCCTGGCTGCACTCCTTCACGGCCACCAGCTCCGCGCAGTCCGCCTCGCCGTTCGGGGTCACCAGGCCCTCCACGACGCCGAATGAAGAGGAGGTGTTGTGGCGGTTGGCCCGCAGCGCTGGGAGCAGCTGCGGGTTGGGCTCCACGCAAGCAACCCGCCCTCTGCTGCCCCGCAACACGATGTCCGCCATCACGCACGTCGCCCCGATGTTCCCGCCGAGCTCCAGGACGCGGTCGCCTGCTGCCAAGAACTCACACAGCGCCTCCTGCTCCCGCCGCTCCCACCGCAAGCTCTCGAGCTCCTGGCCCGAAGCCCCCCGCAACGGGTACTCCGGCACGGCCGAGCACACCCTGGAGGCCGCGAACCGCGCCACCGTGGGGCCCGAGGCGCACTCGCAGTACTTCCTTGTGGGGGAAAATCCACCCCTAGAATAACCGCCCCGACCAGCAAGGCCGTCTAAGAGGAACCACACCCAAAGGAGGAATCGAACAGGGCAGCGCTGCTTCGTAAACGCCCAAGGCCGTTTAGCAAACACCAATTATCGGGCCCGGGTGGCTTCTATTCCCTCGACTCCTCCTGCCGGCCGCCGCGTCGCGGAAGGACTCGCCGATGGCGCACCGCACGGAGCCCGCTGCGCCGCCCGGCAGCGGCGCCGGCAGGCTCCAGGCGTCCCACTTGCCCGAGGGGTCCGGCCAGTCCTCCAGCGGCGGGCTCCCCGCCTGGCCCATGTGCACGAGCCCGCCGGGGCAGCGGCAGATCTCCCCCGCGTCCGCGCAGAAGCGTTAGGTCGGGTGTGTCCTCCTACGGGTGGAGTTCTGGCGAGACATGAAGAGGAGCCCAAGCAGATTCGGACATGCTTGTACGCATGCTCCAGAAATCGTCCCCAGACTGTTGGCTTACTACTCTTGACTACTCCTCCTGTAGAGGGGCGTGCCCGACTTAACAGAAGCGGTAGGACTGCGCGTAGGCTACAGGATCGGCCACCTCCCCCGCCCGGGCGCTCCCGGCGCCCAGCGCCAGCGCGAGGCGCCGGCTGGCCCCGCGGCAGCGCCGCCGCCGCGGGCCCCCTGCCGCGGGCATCTGCTGCGCGGCCCGGGGGAGCGCTGCCCCGTTGCCGTCGTGTCGGCGCGAGTCAAAATGGCTACAGACGACCCGGAGGAGGAGGAGGAGGAGGAGGAGGAGGAGGAGGAGGAGGAGGGAAGAACATATTACGACGTAAATATACACTTCCCGAGGTCCCCGCGCGGGCCCAAAGAAGCCGGCGAGGACCCCGAGCATCACCCCTCAAGAACACGAGACCCTCCGCCAGCCAAAGCACACGAGGCGTCGATGAGGGCTCCCCAGGATGCACGAGAGCACACGCGAGCACACACTGGGGCAACAGACCCTCCCCGAAGCGCCCTCGATCTTCTTCCTCGGTCCGACTGCACAGCAGACACACACACGACCACAACCTTGCCTGCCAGGAGCTGTGCAGCAGCGCGCCCGTCGTCGAGCGCCGGGCTCCCCGAGCTGCCCCGGGCGGCGCCCGCGGGCCCCTCCCGGGGGGCCACATCCCTCTCCCTCCTCCCTCCTCCCTCCTCCCTCCTCCTCCTCCTCCCTCCTCCCTCCTCCCTCCTCCCTCCCTCCTCCCTCCTCCCTCCTCCCTCCTCCCTGGCGGGCAAGGCGTCCTTCCTGACGTGCCCATCCTACGCCACGGTGCCTCCCGGCTGCCCGTTCGGTGGTCCAAAGATGGGGTCCTGAGGGACGGGGGCCTAAGGACGAGGTGCCTCAAGCAACGCAATCCACCGCTGGATCCCTTCCTATCCTCAGGACCCCAGCCCTCAGGACCCCATCTTTCAACCACCGACTCATTCTGAGGACCTTCCTGGAGACACTCGCTCCACTCGTGCGTCGAAGCTGCGTCGAACGTCCGTCGGTTCGAGCCGCCCTTGAGTCGAACCCGAGTCGAACCTGAGTCAAACTGTAGTCGAACTTGAGCCGACCTGGGACGGACCTGGAGTCGAATAGATCCGTCAGGTGGGCCCCAGGAAGGTTCCCCAGAACGAGCACCCAATGCCTCCTTCGCCTCGTGGAGGCGGCCGAAGCGGGGCCAGGGCAGACGGGGGGACGGAAGATCGTGCCGCCTCGCCGATGCACCAGCGAGGCGTGCCGGTGCGCGCGCACGGGGGGGCGGCGCGAAGGGGGCATTGCCTCTGAGAGGGCGTGTGGGGGGGGTGTTAAGGAAGCAGCAGGCGAGCCCGGGATCGCATCGAGGAGCCGGATCGGAGGCACTCGGCGGCCAGGTCGGGAGGAGTCGAGTCGGCAGGAGTCGGCAGGCCAGTAGGCCTCCATTGGAGAAAGCGGAGTCCAGATCGGTATCCGAAGTCGAATCGAATCGGCATCGGAAGCCATCGACATCGAGCCGACGCGCATCGGATGGGTCGAAATGAGCCCTGAAGCAGGGCCTCTTTCAGAGTCCCCCCCGCCCGCAAGCCGGGGCGGGCAGGGCCCCCTTTGGCAAACACCTTCTCGCCATCTCTCGGACGCCCACCCCGTGCAGTTTTCGGCTTCGTGCGTGTACGTGTTCGAAGAGTGGTCCGACATGCTCCTCGATGGTCCTCGCCGAAGAAGAAGCGCACGCGTCCGAGCGATGCCAGGTCTTCTGGCGAAGGCACGACCCGAGGCCAGACCCAGCGGGCGCAGGCCCGCGGGAGCTGCGGCTGCAGCGCCCTCTCAAGAGCCGCGAGACAAGGGCACGTCGCCAGTGGATCACCCTGGCAGGGTGGGCCTTCCATCATCTGGGCCGCACGGAGACATACTAGTGCTAGCACGATGTGTTCTCCTTGGAGGCGCGCGTCCGACCCGAACACATAGTTTCCCCTTCTTGTAGTACATCGTTTTTCCGGGCGGCGTGGCCCGAAGGCGCCCGCCACGACGCATATGCTACAAGACTTCTCGGTGCGCGCGTCGCCCCTGAGGGGGGCGACGCACACATGGTATTAGTATGTTGGGGTGACGCCGGTCACCGGCTACACGCAAGAGCGACCCTGGGCAACAGTGACCTTTGGAGCGCGGCTTGCGGGAACGCAGGGTGGCCAAATCCAAGCGCGCAAGCAGCTATCATGGCATCTCGCTCAGCGATCGGAGGCACCCCAGTGAGCCCGCACCAGAGGTCACTCCGGCGAAGCGTCACTGTTGATTTCATGGAGTAGACCTCTCTCAGTCCCCGATCTCCGAGGCATGCTCAGACACCCCAGGCCCCTCTGAGAAGGCCCCTGCCTGCCAAGGAGCGCCCCCCCCCCCACCTCACCTCGCCCCGACTCCCCGTGCGCGCCGCCGAGATGCGGCGCGACCCTCCGACCCCATCTGCTCCAGCCGCTTGGAGCGGCGAGGAGGCACGGGTCCTACTCAGGAAGACCTGGAGGCCCTACGCGGTGGCTTACGCGGGCCGCTGGGGTGCCGCACCGCTTGGAGAAGAGGGCACTCACGCGCGACCCCACGCGGGCAGCGCACGCGCGAATGCCCGGACAGTCGAGGCCGTTTCTCTGGCGCCGCTCGCTTGGGAGGCCGAGGGTCCTCGCGCGCCCGCCTGCCTCCAGCGCAGGGCGACTCCTCGGGAGCGGCCACCGTCACGTCCCTGATGAGCTGGCCATACTCGGGGAAGGCCTCGGACAAGTCGTTGATCCTTGGAGGGGGAGGGGGAGGAGGAGGAGGAGGAGGAGGAGTAGGAGGAGGAGGAGGAGGAGGAGGAGGAGGAGGAGGAGGGAGGAGGAGGAGGAGGAGGAGGAGGAGGGAGGAGGAGGAGGAGGAGGAGGAGGAGGGAGGAGGAGGAGGAGGAGGAGGAGGAGGAGGAGGAGGAGGAGGAGGAGGAGATACCCATACTGCTACCCGTGCCTCGTTCCCCTCTTTGGGCCTTCTTGGGAGGCCCTCGTCGCCACCGCTGGATTCGCCCCGAGATTCTGGTCAGAACGCACCCTGGGAGAGGTCCAGGGAACACTGGTACATGGGTACCTCTTGCTTTCCCCAGGTCCGCGCGAGGTCCCGGCACAAGGCGGGGAACGCGGGCAGCCGGCCCAGAAACTGTTCCAGCGCGAGGACTCCGAACCGAAACATCTTCGAGTGCATCGGCCGCCGCAGCGCCTCCAGCACGCAGCTGTGCGCGAGGTCCAGGTCCGACGCGCGCACCTGGAGATCCGACGCTCCCAAGAAATTGGAGCGGGCGGTTTTTGGTAGTTCTCGGCCTCTGGGTGCCCTCGCCGGGCCTCGGGAGCGTCAAAGAACAGCTCAGGACGCAAAGCCGGCCCTGGGGAAGTGGTCTGGACCTCCGGGGCCCACGCATCGAAAAAATTGGAGCAGCCGGATGTCTGGGCACCAGGTCGTGGCTGACTAGCAGCCCGAGGAACTCTGCCGTGATGCTCAGGTCGTGCAGGGAGTACTTCGGGAAGAGCCTACTCTCGTCGAGCAGGCGAGAGACGACCCGGCAGTAGACCTCGTGCTCCCAGCTGCCCCTGTCGTGCGAGGCGAAGTCCTTCATGGTCTCGACGAGCTGCGGGACCTAGAAGATGAAGAAAAAACAAAAAATGAAGAAGAAGAAGAAGAAGAAGAAGAAGAAGAAGAAGAAGAATCATCACGAAACATCAACTTTCCGAGATCTGTGCGGATTTCTCGTATCGGCGCTGGGCTGCCTCCCCGGCGGCCCTGGCGCGCGGACCGCGGCAGGGGCGGCGCTGGAGGCGCCGTCGGGCGGGTTCCAGCGCCGATCCAAGGAATCCGCGTGGACCTCCGAAAGTTCATGTCTGTGCCAATGACAGCTGCGCTTCAAGGATTCCCCAGAAAGCCGCATAGGGGGGTTCAAGTGGTGAGGTGTGTGACTTCAGCGCGGCTCCATCTCCTCGTCCTCCTCTTCACCATGATCATCACTTCCCTCCTCCTCCTCCTCCTACTACTACTATACTACTACTACCACCACCACCACCACCACCACCACCACCACCACCACCACCACCACCACCACCACCACCACTACGACTACTACTACTACTACTACTACTACGACTGATACTACTATTACTACTACTACTACTACTACTACTACTACTACTACTACTACTACTACTACTACTACTACTACTACTACTACTACTACTACTACTACTACTACTACTACTACTACTACTACTGCTACTGCTGCTGCTCCTGCTGCTGCTGCTGCTGCTACTACTACTACTACTACTACTACTACTACTACTACGACTACTACTACTACTACTACTACTTCTGCTGCTGCTGCTTGCTGCTACTACTACTACTATACTACTACTACTACTACTACTACTACTACTACTACTACTACTACTACTACTACTACTACTACTACTACTACTACTACTACTACTACTACTACTACTACGACTACTACTACAACTACTACTACTACTACTACTACTACTACTACTGCTACTACTACTACTACTACTACTACTACTACTACTACTACTACTACTACTACTACTACTACTACTACTACTACTAGTACTACTACTACTACTACTACTACTACTACTACTACTACTATTACTACTACTACTACTACTCAAAAGGAGCGAGAGGAGTGAGAGGAGAAGGAGGAAGAGGAGGAGGGGGAGAGGAGGAGCAGGAGGAGGAGTGAGGAGGGGGAGGTGGAGGATAGCGCTTAAAAACCAAACAAGCAAAGAGAAACATAACAAACAATGACACCGAAGTTCTGGCTGCAGAACTTCGGGAAACCATTGAAACAAACAAACAACAAATCAACAACAAAAACAAAAACAACAACAGCAACAGCACCAGCAACAACAACAACAACAACAACAACAACAACAACACCAACAAAAACAACAACAGCAGCAACAACAACAACACCAATAACAACAACAATCATTTTAAGACTGTTCGCCCTTATCTGCTCGAGGGTCCCACAACGCCTATTCCCCAAACCCTCGATACCCGCCCTCTTCGTCTTCGATCGAACCCTTTTGGAAGTTATACCTTTCTTCCCTGCAGGCCGGGCCCCGGCAAGCGGCGGGGCGGCCGCGGACCGTCGGCCTGGCCAGCGGCAGCGCTGATCGGCGGGGCGGCCGCGGACCGTCGACCCGACCCCAAGAGGGACGGACAGGGAACCGACCACGACGACGACGACGACGTCGACGACGACGGCGACGACGACGACGACGGCGACGACGACGACGAGCGAAAGCGAGAGCGAAAGAGAACGACAGCAGGGCCACGAAGGACACGAAGTAGGCCACGAAGGGCAACAGCGGGGACACGAAGGGAATGCGTATGCCGTATGGGGCCACGAAGAGCGCGAACGAACGGGGGCCACGAAGGGCAGATAATGCGGGGCCACAGAAGGCAACGATGGGCCACTGAGGGTAGCAACTGGGCCACGTGGGACAGATGCATCTGGGGCCACCACCGGCGCGAATGAGCAGGGGCCACCAAGGGCATACATATATGGGGCCACGAAGGGCAGCGAGGGGACCACGAAGGGATGCAACGGGGCCACGAAGGGCAGCGAGGGGGCCACGAGGGGCTGCAACGGGGCCACGAAGGGCTGCGACGGGGCCACGAAGGGCAGCGAGGGAGCCACGGAGGGCTGCAACGGGGCCACGAAACAAAGCGAGGGGCCACGAAGGACTGCAACGGGACCACGAAGAGCAGCGAGGAGGCCACGAGGGGCTGCAACGGGGCCACGAAACAAAGCGAGTGGGCCATGAAGGGCTGCAACGGTGCCACGAAACAAAGCGAGGGGGCCACGAAGGGCAGCGAGGGGGCCACGAAGAGCAGCGAGATCCCGATTCCTATGTAATCTGTGAGGGAGTCCTACGCGTGAGCGCGACTCCTGGGTGCCTGGGTGTCGGGAGCGCGGCGCTTGAATAAATTGTAAGAAATTCCAACGCAAGGGCGCTATTTTCAGTAAATTGCAAGCAAGTCTCCAACGAGAGCGCGACTCCAGAGCGCTGGGATAATAAATTCTAAGGAAGTCCCAAGCGAGAGCGCGATTCCTTAATAAAACGCGAGGGAGTCTCGGGCGGGAGCGGGGGTCCTGGCTAAATTGTGAGGAAGTCTCAGGCGGGAGCCGTTGTTGTTGTAAACCGGGGGCCAAGGGCAAAGTTTGACCCTCAAGCCTTTCCCTGATGCAAAAACAGGGTGCGAAACACGGGAGGGGCACTTCAATTGAAAAAAACTATGTGCACCGGACGGGGGGGATCAACTATAATTACTCTTCAGAAGTGAGAGCTCAACAACAGCAACAACAACAGCAACAACAGCAACAACAACAACAGCAGCAACAACAACATCAACATCAACAGCAACAACAACCACAACAACAACCACAACAACAACAACAATCATTTTAAGACTGTTCGCCCTTATCAGCTCGAGTGTCCAATAACGCTTACTTCCCAAACCCTCGATACCCGCCCTCTTCGTCTTCGATCGAACCCCTTTTGGGGGGTATACCTTTCTTCCTTGCAGGCCGGGCCCCGGCAAGCGGCGGGGCGGCCGCGGACCGTCGGCCTGGCCAGCGGCAGCGCTGATCGGCGGGGCGGCCGCGGACCGTCGACTCGACCCCATGAGGGACGGACAGGGAACCGACCACGACAACGACGACGACGCCGTCGTCGACGGCGACGGCGACGACGACGACGGCGACGACGACGACGAGCAAAAGCGAGAGCGAGAGAGAACGACAGCAGGGCCACGAAGGACACGAAGTAGGCCACGAAGGGCAACAGCGGGGACACGAAGGGAATGCGTATGGGGCCACGAAGAGCGCGAACGAGCGGGGGCCACGAAGGGCAGATAATGCGGGGCCACAGAAGGCAACGATGGGGCCACTGAGGGTAGCAATTGGGCCACGTAGGACAGTGAGGGGGCCACAAACGGCGACAGCGGGGCCACGAAGGGCATGCACATGGGGCCACAACGGGCGCGAACGAGCGGGGGCCACGAAGGGCAGACGTATGTTGGGCCGCGGAGGGCAAGGACGGGGCCACGGAGGGCTTCAACGGGGCCACGAAGGGCAGCGAGGGGGCCACGAAGGGCGACAGCGGGGCCTCGAAGGGCATGCATATGGGGCCACCACGGGCGCGAACGAGCGGGGGCCGCCCACAAAGGGCATACATATACGGGGCCACGAAGGGCAGCGAGGGGGCCACGAAGGGCTTCAACGGGGCCACGAAGGACTGTAAAGGGGCCACGAAGGGCAGCGAGAGGGCCACGAAGGGCTGCAACGGGGCAACGAAACAAAGCGAGGGGGCCACGAAGGACTGCAACGGGGCCACGAAACAAAGCGAGGGGGCCACGAGGAGCTGCAACGGGACCACGAAACAAAGCGAGGGGGCCACGAAGGGCTGCAACGGGGCCACGAAACAAAGCGAAGGGGCCACGAAGGGCTGCAACGGGGCCACGAAGGGCACCGAGGGGGCCACGAAGGGCTGCAACGGGGCCACGAAACAAAGCGAGGGGGCCACGAAGGGCTGCAACGGGGCCACGAAACAAAGCGAGATCCCGATTCCTGGGTAATCTGCGAGGGAGTTCTAAGCGTGAGCGCGACTCCTAGGTGCCTGGGTGTCGGGAGCGCGGCGCTTGAGTAAATTGCAAGAAATTGCAACGTAAGGGCGCTATTCGCCAGTCATTTGCAAATAAGTCGCCAGCAAGAACGCGACTCCAGAGCGCCGGGAGAGCGATTCGGGAATGAATTGTAAGGAGGTCCCAAGCGAGAGCGCGATTCCTGAATAAAATGCGAGGAAGTCTCGGGCGGGAGCGGGGGTCCTGGCTAAATTGTTAGGAAGTCTCAGGCGGGAGCCGTTGTTGTTGTAACCCGGGGGGCCAGGGGCGCAGTTTGAGTATCAAGACTTTCCCTTTTCAAAAGACAGGGTGCGAGCGTCGAGGGACACACTTTGATTGAGAAAAACAATATGCACCGGTGAGGGGGGATCAACAATTATCATTTTCAAAAATGAGAGTTCAACATCAACATCAACAGCATCAACAACAATTACAGCAACAAGCACAACAACAAGAAGACAACATCAGTTACTACAACGTGCAGCTCTCACTACATACCCTACTACAACTCTTGCTACCTATCCTTGTCACAACCACGAGTACAAACCTCACTACAACTCCCACAGCAGGCAACGGTACAGCTCTCAATGCAGCTCTTCCGACTGCCATCTACTACAGCTCAGAAGCCAGGCCATATCACAACCCCTTTATTGTTAGTAGAACAGTCTCCTTACAACTCCTCCTTATGCCGCTTTCACTACAGCTCCGACTAACATTCTTGTAACAGATCATCGCACAGGTTCTACCACAATTCCTACTACAGCCACGCGCATCTCTCAATACATATATGACATAAGTTGCACTAAGATTCATGGTACACATCCTATTACAAACCCGGGTGCAGTTCTCATTGTACTTCATGGTGCAGCCAGTAGGACAGCCTTCACTTCTGTTCTGACCACTCCGACCACATGTCCACTTGACGGCAATTGCACGTAT